ATTTGTATACCTATCCCTCTCTAAATTCACTACTTTTCCAGGCAGACAAACCCCTAAGCATAGAGAAATGAAGAGCACACACTCCCACTTCAATGCAATTAGTTAGCCATTAAAAACTGGTCTACACCTAAAACTTTTACTGGCATAGCTGTGTCTGTTTGGAGTGTGGGGACAAAAATACTACACTCCTAAATGACAGTTATGCTGGCTGTTAACATTAAGCCAAAAAGGGTTAAGCAACTAGCAGGCTAAATGACTTAAACACAACCTTTGCAGACATGTTAGAACAGTATATAAATGGGAAATAGAGCCATGTCTTGTTAATAGGCAACAGCTTTGAAATGCAAATCAGTATTGTTAAAGAATTAGAGGTAATACTAATTCTGTGTGTTTACTTATATCTTATTCGATGTTAACCATTTAAACAGAGTGGTTCCTCTGTCAGCATACCTGTTGATTTAGACATCAAAAAGGAATATTGACGTATAGATGAAATCTGAATATATAATGCTATTTTCCATATTTCTGTTTGAAGTTAGTAGTAAACTGGCTATGAACTGCTTAATGGATGCAACTGATGACCTGTGTATATATAGGAAATAGATAATTCTACTTATAAGCCACAATGCCTCACCCAAGAACTGCATGCTGTCAAGAGTTTGCCAGAGAACTATAAATAGAACTTTTGAGACCTGATGCTTTCACCTCAGATCTGCTTAAGTTTCATCAGGGTAAGTTTGAGTCGCAAGACTGAGGTCTCTGATTTCATTCAGGACTGCTTGATAGTGGACATGGATATTGGACTCTAATATACTGATTCTGGAAAGGACTCTGCAATTTTAAAGTTTTCTGTCTCTACTATGAAACTGATCTATGAAGTCGGTTCATGGCTGTATATATAATGGTCTTTTAACCAATACATTCTTCTCTTTTTTAATACATTTTAGTTACTAAGAACTGGCTGTAAGCATGCATTTGGTTATGATCTAAGATATTTATTGACCTGATGGGCAATGTGTGTAATCCTTTGGGATTGGAAGAACATTTTACATGCTGAAAAAGATTTTCAATAATCCTCATCATATTTGACTTGGCTTGGCTTTCTGGGTGGGAGCTAAGGCTGTGTTTTATAAGGGAACTGTATTTCTAGCTTCTGAGTAACCAGAGTCAAGTATTGTAGAAACTGTTTTGTTGCTGGCTTGGTGAATCTAATTGATGGATCCACTAGTTTTGAGGACTGTTTGCTTAATTTTGTCTGGAAATGGGTGATTGGAGAGGGATCACATGAGGATTACCTGTTGTTCCCTCCCTCTGGGGCATGTGGTATTGGCCACTGGTGTTGGCAGACGGGATTCTGGGCTAGATGGACCTTTGGTCTGACCCAGTATGGCGGTTCTTATGTAATTAGGGCAAACCTCAAAGAATAGTGCAATCTCAGCATTCCCCCCCCCCCCAGGGGACCTCCAGTCACACTGGCATAAAGCTTCAATGTCAATGCTGTTAAACCATCAAAACTCTGCTATTGCTAGCATAGACAATTTGTTCAGGGATTGGAATACAACAAAACTACACTTTTGTCAGTATAAGCTGTATACACAATGGGAGTGCTTTGCAAGTACAGTATATCTAGAAGTACTTCTTGTGTAAACCTGGCCTCAGTTCTGTGTTTTTCCTATTAGGCCATGCTTTCTCTGGAAACGCTGTTCTAATGGTAGGTTGAATGTAATCAGTGTTAGTAAAATAGTCTTCAAAGTAATACTTCCTAGGAAACTGTACTCAATTCAAAAAATGAAGTTCCTTTTCTTGTAGTATGTCACTTGGAAATTTTCCCAGTCATTTCCATTCCCTACAGTTTTTTTCCATTTTCATAACGTGATGCTAGAATGACACTTCTCATGTTACACATCATAACTAGTATTCACAGGAATCCAAAAACTAGAAGAAAATGCAGCAGTGATTGATTCATAGTCAGTTTATACTTACTGGAGATATGACTGCCAGTTTACTTTGTTTGCCCGAACTTCAGCAGCTTTGGCAGCAATGATGTTTGTTGGGACAGCAGCATCTACAGCTCCTCGAATATCCATTTTAATCTCAATTTAAAATCTGTTCAGAAATACAAGTCAAATCTGAGACAACAACAACATATTAGGAAAACAAACTAAGTGGCCAAGATTTTCGGCAGTTTTTAAACAATATTAAGTGCCCAACTTGGGACCCGTTAAAGGACCTAGTTTTCACAGTGTGGTTACCAAACAGCTTGCTTTTGAAAACTTTGGCCTGTACTTTTAAACCAAATTTTAAGTTACAATGAAAAAAGTTTGCGCTCATTCAATGGTGTGAAAGTATTTCATGGGATCAGGCATCCATTACAATTAATTTAAATACTGATTGCTGTTTATGTTGCATAGAAAATTTCTCCAAACCATCCACAATGAAGGACAATTACCAATATGTAAGAGACTAAAGCAATGGTCTCCAACCTTCTTAACCACAAGATCACTTTTTCAATTTAAGTGCAATGAAAGATCTACCTCAAACCCAAATACCATTGCCCCACTTCCCTCCAACACCTTCTTTGAGGCCACGCCCCTGCTACTCCCCTTCTCAAAGGCCTCACCTTGCTCATCCCATCCACATCCCTCCCCAACTCTCACTCACTTGCACGAGGCTGGGGTAGGAAGTTGGGGTGCAGGCTCTGGTCCCAGGCCAAGGAGTTTGGAGTGTTGGAGGGGCTCCGGGCTTGACCTAGAATGGGGGATTCGGGTCCAGGAGAGGTTTTAGGGTGCAAGCTCTGAGAAGGAGTTTGGGTGTAGGAGGAGGTTCAGAGCTGGGATAGTAGTTCAGGATGCAGGATCTGGCTGGGCAACATTTAACTGAGATGGCTTCCGGGTGGTGGATCAGAAGGGTTAAGGCAGGGTTACTCCTGCCCTGGCCCTGTGCCACTCCTGAAGGCAGCTGGCATGTACAGCAATGGTTCCATGGTACCATGTGTTGCCCTTCATCTACAGGCACCGTGCAACACAGCTTCTGCTGGCCACAATTCCCCATTACTGATCAATGGGAGCTGCAGGAGTGGTGTCTGCAGGCAAGGACGGCATGTGAAGACCCCCTTCTCTATCTGTGTCAGGGACACACCAGCCACTTCCAGGAGCAGCAATTACCACAGGGATAATGACTCCAAATGTTACAGGTGAGGCACTAGAACTCACTGTGCAAAGAATTAAGTTTAAGCATAAGAGAAACGAAAACTATGAAATGCACAGACCAGTCAAAAACCAAAACTAACATACTTTGCAAGCAGTAGAAGAAGCAAAACCAACAACCGACATATGGAGATGAGTGAAGGACAGTGTGTGTTTGTGAAAATGACAGAGACACACAGTGTGAGTGTGACAGATTTGCATTGCCAAGCTCCCTGCATCCCCTTCTCTCTGTATGGAGATGAGGTACAGTGGTGGGGGCACGGGCGACACCCTGACACAAGCACCCCTTCCTCTTCTCCCTCCCACACCCTGCACAGCAAGCAGGAGGCTCCCAAGGGGGCAGCTCCAAGGCAAAGGGCAGGAGAAGCATGGCAGTGGGTTGATGGGCAACTGAAATGCCAGCACTTGATAGCTTTCCAGCCAAACCAGTCAGGATCACCTATCAGAGGCTCCAAGATCTACGGGTAGATCCCAATCTACTGGTTGGTGACCACTGGACTAAAGCATTTGTGGCTGCCTCTGTAGTAGTCCTCTAGCTAAATAATATAAACTCTTCATGTGTTTAACTTTTGGCTGTCAATAAAGAGATGACATTCAAAAATACATACACCTCAATTTTTACAGTCACATCAAAGACAACACTTGAAAGACATACAAAAGCATTGAACAGTGGGAAAATAAATGAATCACTTTCAACCAAATTGTATTTGACAAAAAGTCTTCAAATATTCCTTTAAAAACCTGAAAAATTCTTCACAACAAATCTCAGCTTTTCTTCTTTGAGAGCTGCAGAGTTTGACAAATATCCGCTTGCCTGTGGCAAAAAAAGAGTGTTTCTGAACAATGTAAGATATCCTTTTCTGTATTTAAAAAAAAAATCTGGACTTCTGGTTAGTATGACCTACCCAAAGTGAACCTAATGTTCATTGATGTAGTGAGCATGCAGACATCTCTAGTGCTAGCTGCTCAATTTTACCAACCTATAATAGTGAAATGACTGCTAACTAACCCAGGCATGTCCAAAGTCCGGCCCGCGGACCGGCCCCCCAGGTAATTTGGCAATATCTATCTTTTATGGCCCCCAACGAATCCATATGTATTGAGATGAATACACTGTAAAATCTCAGTTAATGTCAGTTGGTCTAAATCAGTTATAAATATATTTGGACATGACATGTATACTTGGTGTTATGTTCCTGTTCATATTTTTTTAACTTAAAAGTTGACAGACAACCTTTATTACCAATAATATGTAATGTACTTTACAATGTTCCTGACATATTTCAGCTTCCTGGATTTTTTTTTTCCATCTGGCCTTCAGATATGAAAGGCAGAGTGATTTAACACCTGTTTAGATTTGTCATCCATGTGACGAAATGAAAAGTATGCCGTTTGCAATAAACTTTGAATAAAATAGTTAATTTGCATTTAATTTTAATGGTTCAAAGAATGTCAGGCAAAATGGTCGGCCCTCACGCATGTTCACTTCATCAAATCTGGCCCTCTTTGAAAAAAGTTTGGACACCCCTGAACTAACCTGACACTGATTCTTTTCAATCTTATTTTGCTGTTGGTTTGTCAAGGTCAATATTGAGTTGCTCATTGGGGATGAAAATGTCAGAAAATAGCAGACACTTCCTATTGCCTTCATAACCATTTAGAGAGTATGGTAGAAGTGTATATTGAGAGAGTACCTAAGGAAAAAAGTTTAAAAAGCCACAACGTGTGGAGATAAAAGGAACAGAAGTATGTGGAGGAAGAGGGAAAGGAAACACATTAATGGGAACAAGTAAAACAGAAACATCACAGTCTATTTAGGGCAGAAACAAAAATAGAACAAAG